ATTTTGCACAACCAAATCTAATAAAACTAAAATGGAAACAATTAATTGGGGAAAATATTTGCATCAAGTTTCTTGAAAGAAGATTCTGGGAAGATGTTGTGGTGGGATCCAGTAGAACAGAGATGTCAAACAGGTGGCAGAATTCCTGGCAGAATAGGCCCTGACACTCACCAGTGCCTCCCTGAACCAGATTAAAATGTAATTGGAAAATATTCCACCCCCAAAAAAGACAGAATATCACTATAGAGCAGTGGAAATAAACAAAAGTTGGGATAAGGCAGTTGTCCTCCCAAGACAATCTAAGAAATCCCCAGGAAAGACCCCGGGGTTGGGGAGTGAAGAGAGGGGGGATTGGAAAATCCTCCAAATTAGAGAAATCAAAATTAAAACAATTCTGAGATTCTACCTCATACCCACAGAAAAATGATAAATATTGGAGGGGCTGTGGGAAAATAGGCACATTGATGCATTGTTGGTGGACTTGTGAATAGGTAGAATCACTCTGGAAAACAATTTGGAATAATATACAAAAAGTTGCTAAACAGCATGTGCCCTTTGACCCAGCTATACCACTGCTAGGCCTCTTCCCAAAAGAGATCAAAGAAAGAGGAAAAGGTTACATACAAAAATAATTATAGCAACTTCTTTTGTGGAGCCAAAAAAACTAAAAATTAAGGGGATGTCCATCAGTTGTAGAATGGTTGAATAAATTATAGTATATGAATGAGATGGAGTATTCTTGTGCTGCAAGAAATGAGGAAATAAATGATTACAAAATGACATGAAAAGACTTACATGACCTAATACAGAATGAAGTAAAACCAGAAGAACAATTTATATAACATCAATATTATAAAAATGAAAATTTTGAGGACTTTTATAAACTGACGAAGAAGGAAATGAGTAGAACCAGAGAACAACTTATACAATAACAACACTGTAAAAACAAAAATAATTTAAAGGGTTGTTGTGTAGCACAGGAATTAGATTTTTCTCCTTGGCCCAGGTGGGCAAGACTAGGCATAATGCTTTTTGATTCACTGACTGACTAAGGCAGATTTAGGTCGAGTGGATTTAAGGAAAAATATCTTCTTAGAGCTAATCAAAAGCATACTGAGCTACATTGAGAGATAATGGATCCCTTGTCCTTAAAGGTCTTCAAACAAAGATTGGATGACCACTTGTCAGGGATCCAGTAGAGCAGAGATGTCAAACAGGTGGCAGAACTCCTGGCAGAATAGGCCCTGACACTCACCAGTGCCTCCCTGAACCAGATTAAAAAGTAATTGGAAAATATTTAACAAAATAAATAAAAATACGGTAGAACACAGATACTGTTTCTATTTGAGCTTGACACTATGGCTGTAGAGGAGATTCTCCCTTAGCTTATGTTGGACTAGATGACCTCTGCGGTCCTCTGCAATTCTGAATCAGCAAATGGAAGTGAGGGTTAAAAGGGGGAGGCCCAGGGACCAGGAAGAGTGTCAGTGCTTGCTGGGGTGGACCACATATGCAGTCAATCAATTAACATTTATGAAACGCCTACCATGATAAGGGTAGGGCACATAAAGAAAGACAATAACATGGTCCCTGTCCTCAAAGAGCTCACAGTCTAATAGGGGAAACAGCATGCAGGTAACTACGTACAAACAAGCGACAGACAGGATTAACTGGGGTTAGTTTAGATTAGACTAGGGAAGGCATTCAGATGAGTAGGACTGGGAAAGGCTTCCTCCTGCAGAAAGTAGGACTTTATCTGAGACTAGATGGAAGCTGAGGAAGTCGAGAAGGGGAGATGAGGAGTAACAGCATCATGTGCTTCTAGAATGAAAAGATCTATGGTTCAGGGAAGAATTCTGAGTTCAAAGCTTCAACTTCTTGCACTCTAGGCTTCCCAATTTTTGGCATATTTCCTTGGCTTTGAACTATGACCTAAAACCAACTCCCTCCCTCCCTTCAGCCCTTGGGAATTAGTCCCTATAGACTCTTACTCCCACCCCTGACCAAGAGAAGATTACTTTTACCCCGACACTGGATTTCCCTGATTTTTGGCTAATGCATCAGTCCTACTTTGGATACTTGGGAGCGCTGGAACCCAACACTCCTCTTGATATACAGGAGTAAAAGTGATCTTGTATCTGAATTCCAAACATTTCAAGATGGGCCTTCAAAACGTATCATACATTGTTCCTTCCCTTCATGTGACTGACATCACACAACTCTATTATCTCCTATTCATTCCCCTGAGATCCCAAGGACCCTCAGAATTTCCTCTAACACTGTGGGTACAGAAAGAGTTTTTCAAAGAATATAGGAGAAAACGCAAAAAAGGGGAATTACAGTAACATAGCTTTGAGGAACAAATGATGGAGTGCTTAACCACTCTCTCTGGGTAGGCTTATAATAGCTATAAAACTCAAAACTGTATCAAGGACTACACTGGTTACAGTAACAGAGTGACTTTCTTCTTCTTTTTTTATTTTAATTAGAAAAACAGAGTATATCACCTTCATTTCCAAATATAGCCCTCCTACCTTCCCTATATAGCAAGCCATCCCTTAGAACAAAAAAATTAAAAAATAATTCAGCAAAATGATTCCACACATCAACCAAATTTCATAATAAGAAAAACTGATTTTCTATAACACTTACAGTCTGTTCTGTACATTTTAGTAGGCTCTGGATTCAAATCCTACCTCTTCTGCTCACTGATATTTTGACCTTGGTTACTCAATCAATCAAGTATTTAGGCAGGTAGGTGATAGCACATTAAAACACTGGACATCGAAGTCAGGAAAACCTGAGTTGAAATCCAGCCTCAGATGCTTACTAGCTGTGTAATCTTGGGCAAGTCATTTAACCTCTGCCTAAGTTTCTTCATCTGCAAGATGGGGGTAATATTGGCATTTACCTCCCAGGGTTGTTGAGAGAATATTTGTAAAGTGCTCTGCAAATCTTAAAGTGCTATATAAACACTAGTTGTAATTATTATTATGCACTTACTGTGGGCCAGGCACTGTGCTAGATGCTGAGGATAAAAAGAAACAATCCCAATTCTAACATGATAATGGGGTAGAGAACACATATGCATAAAAGTCTAGTACATACAAAATAAATATAAAGCAGTAAGAGATGGAGGCAGGGCCTAGCAGGTGGGGGAATGAGGAAAGGCTCAGAAGGTGGTACTTCAAGAGCAGTGTTAGGATTCTCTAAGGCAGAGGTGAGGACAGCTAGTGCAATGACATGTAGATGGACAATGTCATGTCCTAAGTGAGGAACACAGAAAAGGCCAGTTTTGCTGGACCAGCTGGAAAGATAATTTGGGACCAACTGGTGAAAGGCTTGTAAAGTCAAACTGAAGAGTTCATATTTTATCTTAGAAACAATAATAATCCTTGGAATTTACTAAGTGAGCGAGTGATATGGTCAGACCTGCCCTTAAGGAACACCCGTTTGGCAGCTGTGTGGAAGATGGACCAGAGTGGGGAGAGGCCTGAAGCAGGAGACCAATCACGAGGCCGTTGCAACAATCCCAGCAACGGTGATGGAAAGTGTGCACTAATTTGGCAATTGAGTGAGAAGAGCCAAATTTGGGTGTGAGAGACATGAAGGCAGGAACAGGAAGAACTGGCAATTCATTGGACATGTAGGATGAGGTCTGAGAAGGAGTGCAGGATAACACTGATCTGGGAGAGTGGAAGAATGATGGTATCTGACAGAAATAGAGAAGTTGAGAAGAGAGGACAGTTTTTGTGGGGGAAGTAGGTGGGGAAAGAGAATGAGTTCTGTCCTGGACATATTGAGTTTGAGCTTACAGAAAGGGGAGGAGGCAGAGACAACATGGCAAAGCAGAAGAAAGAAGTGCTGCCCCGCCCTCCTCCCCTTCCCCCAAATTGCCTCAGTGGATCACATTGAATCCTGATGGGGAAATCTAAGGGAAAAAATCACTGTAAGTCAATTTTCCAGGCCAGATTGGCCTAGGGAGATAGAGAGAAATGCCTGTGGACACTGGGGATGGGGTTTGGGCAAGAGCACATTATAGTTGGGGAACAGGGCAAGAAGAGGTCCCAGACCCATAACAGGGGAACAGGTGTTAACGGGCACTTCATCCTCAGTTCTGTGTCACAGACTCAGGGTGGACTGACCAGGGAAGCCGTGGCCAGGAGTGGCATGCTCCCTGCTCTACGCACCAAGCAAGTTCAAAAGCAAGCAGCAGCTGTGTAACTGACCCAGAGGCAGTGGGGGGTTGGTGAGAAGGGCAGGAGGTGTATTAGGTTCTTATCAAGATCTGATCACTTTGAGAACCCTGAAAGTCTTCAGATGCCCAGCCTAAGTTGTCCCTGAGAGCCTGGAATAACACAACACTCAATACCCCAAGAAAGCAGAGCAGGATCAGCCCAGACTTTCCCTCCAGCAGTGTACAGACGCTGTCCTTAACATCAAGCCTGAAGTCAGGAAGTAGGCTGAAAGAAAGGACAAACAAAAAAAGGACCCCACATAGAAAGCTATTATGGCAACAAGGACACTTAAGATGAAGAAGGTCCCAGAAGAAGAGAATGATTCTCATTCCCCAACTGATAAATGGTCAAAGGATATGAACAGGCTGTTCTCAGATGAAGAAATTAAAGCCATCTAT